TTTAGATTTTTTTGGAAAAATTTCGGCTTGTGTATAGCTAACAACATGGTTCGCGAGTGTATTTTGAGCAAAAAACTGGAAAATGTGGGTGCTGAAGTATCTTTTCATAAGTAAGCAAGGTTAGGTGATGATGTATTGAATAGTTCAATGGTGTAAATTTAAAGATTTTTGCCGTTATATCACATGTATTATCTTCTTTTATATTTCTGTTATTTTATTTGATCTTTCAACATTATTAATTTCGCAAAAAATTGTAATTAATAGAAACGCTTTAGTCTGGACTATAGTGGTAAAATAAATATGCTTATGCTTGATTTTTAGATTCCCAACTGAAAGGCATACAAGAAATATTTCGCTATCACTTGTAGGACTTGAAGAAAATAAAGGTATCTAAAAAAGAGTGTTATGCTAGGAGCATTTTGATCCTAATGATTTTCTTCAAAAAGCAAATATCTCAAGCCTGGAGCAGTGCTAAAACTAAGTTCATTGTTTCGAGAAAGCTCATTTAGGTAACTAAAAACTTTCTTAATTATGTTTCGGAAATGTTCATTTAAGTGTTTATTCTTTAAGATGAAAGATGGTAGTTTATCTTACAAAAAGTTCTTTAAATTTTGTAGGTGCTTTACAAGGACAAACTTTTTTATAAACTCATATTACATGCCTCTTTCTTTGAATATTTTCATGAACTACCTTATTATTATTCAAAATGTATACTTACCTTTCCATTAAAAGTTCTGAATACTCTGTTACAGCTCTGATTCCAGTATCAGTATTTTTGACAGCTCTAGTTAGAAACCAGAAGATAATTTATCTATGCCGCACACATTTATGGATGATAATAAGTAAGTTAGTTTACTGCCTAGTTTTACAAGTTAAAAACTATCAATGGATAGGTTTATTGTTGTACAGTTCTACTTGTTTTCGGATTTTACAAAATCCTTATTACCAGATCCGCTATAAGAAGAGTTCCATTTAAAATCCCCACCTTGCATATACGTATGGTAAATTTATTGATTTAATAACTTTCATAAATTTAGTAGTGTTAAAAATCTAAATTTTGATTTAAAAATCTCTCAGTTACCAATTTGTAAAACTGTTCAAATTTTAACTCAAAATTGAATTTGTAAATTTGTTTAAAATAAATCTTGATTTATTTATCTTGTTTTTATTTTATTTAACATCTTTATATGTAATAAATGTATTATTCTTGAAAAAAATAGTGTTTTTAAGCTTTTTACCTACATTCCACTGAACTTCATACCCTTATACCAAATCCAATCGGTTTTAAAGTTTAAACCATTATAAAGTTTATTGCACACCATATCGGTTAGTATTTCATTACTTTTTTTTTTTTTTATCTTTAACAAGATACGCCACTGGTATTAACAGACTTTTAGTTGCGTTTAACAGCAGCTTTGCCAGACGAGATTTTCGATTACAGTCTGTCTTCTTTCGATCCGCATAAAATATCTTCTTTCTCTTTTCCGATGATTGGGACCAAACAAAACATACTTTATGAATGAAATGCATCATCTGTTGTTTCTTTTATCTAAGCATTATAGCAGAGACAACAGAGACGTGTAACTTAATAGGAAAATATGTTCGGTGGTCCATTTAAATTACATATATGACCCTCTTTTTCTTTTACATTGATCTTTACATGTGTCTATCTCTCTCCAATAAAACAAATACCATTTTCAGAGGGCGCTGGTGTTGCTGGTTTTTTGACGTAGAAATATCGATTAAAAGTATTAAAACTGACAACTGACAATGTTATGAATGTTGTTATGAACATGTGCATTTTATTAAAATTAATTTAATTTGGGCCCCGTATATTTCTTTTAGTCTGATTTTGTTGTTTAATTAATTTTCTTTGGGGGGAATGTTTATTTTTGCATATTATTTTTTGCATGAAGCAATTTCTGGAACAAAACTCGCGTTTTTGTACACATTTCTTTCTAGAGGTAAGTAATTTCCAATTTATTAAGAAAACCACTGTATAATGTGTGTGTTTAATAATATATTACACAATGACTATAATTATTTTAGGTGAATTGGAACACCTACTTGTGTTCATTAAGTAGGTAGATGAATGTCTGGACAGCTTTAATGGCAGCACAAAGTTCCTATTTACTAGAAAAGTAAAATGTATGCTGAGTAAAACATCTGAGTAGTATTGAAATGATTAGAGATTAGCTATTTCTTACATACACCTACCTCTAACAGCCACTCTAAAGGAAGAAAAAAAATTGAATCACAAAAGGGCAGAATTTTAAATCAGGATGCATTGGAAAATAAATTTGGGGACATCAGGTCGGTTTTGGATTTTATAGAGAGATCAATTTCAAGAAAAGTTAATTTATCCTGCAGAACAACCAGTAGTTTAAGTAGGATTTGCTATAACTTTATTAGAAATTTTCTTTGATAATAAATTGTAATATAGGTACCAATTATTGTTTCAAATGAAATTGAAAAAGAGTTAAATATGAAATTAGATTTTTCATGAGTAAAATGTTATATTCATTCGAACATTGTAAGGTAATCTATAATTAAGGGAATATGGAAAATAGGTATACCCTGGTGGTGTAAGAGAAAGGTAAGGGGCAATGACAAAAAAATTACAAAAATGTATTTATCGTTAAATAGTGTTTATTATTAATAATATTATTTGCTATGTTTTAAAAGTACCTCCTGCTTCTGAACAGATTGAATAGATTAGACTACTAGTTGGAGAAGGTCCACCTAGTAACCAAATTAGGAGACTAGGAAAACTTTTACATGACTGGGGACACAACAGGAATGCATACACACAAGATACACAAACAAACGAAATAACAGGGGTAAGCCTTTAGCAACGTCCTGTTTAAATGATGATAGTATGTAATTCTTCATTCCCTTTTAGAAAGCATGGCATATAAATATATTGATCTTGATTACTATAAGAGGAGTTAGCAGGGGTCTAGCAGGTTTCGATCCAGTTTACAGGATGGGAACTTACTTGACTCGGGCCTTATACATTTGTGTTGAGTGTATGTGTGTTTCGTTTCCATGGTTTCTATTAAAATAAACAGTCATAACATATCCATACCTTTCTGCCAGACTAACATAAGTGACATTTGTTCAAATGGCACTTATGATAGTCTGGCAAAAAGGTATCGATACTATACTTTATAAAATATTTGTTATATTAGTTTTTAAATATATTATGAATATATAACAAGTGTTACTTTCTTTGTAATTTGTCACAAAATGATAGGAGATACTTTCTAAACGAAGCAATTGTAGTTTTTTTTTTCTGTATCTTACAAAAATATAAATTATAGAAAAAGAGTTTGGTGTATTATTTTTCCAAGTTTAAATATTTAATAATCAATAGAATTTTCAAGTTTTTTTTAGCGAAATTTACAAGAGTAATAAAAACTATGTTCAACGTTTATATTAAACTGATTAAAACTTCCTTTATTAAAATGATTATTTATGTGATAAAAAATTTGATGTTATTGGAAGCTTTTATATTTTTTTAATATACAGTGAAACAATAGTTTTTGTTTCTCCTGTAAATTTGTATAGAAAAACTTTATTTCTGAATCCATGTTTGAATTTCCCGCCCTAAAGCATTTTTAATTTTCCCGCTATTTACTAGTGGCGCCATCATAGACTGGTTGTGGTTACAATCGCCCAAATAACTTTTACCGAACAAAAAAAATACATTGAGTTACACGTCTCGCTGGATTGTCTCTGATTATAGCAAAAGTAAAAGTTCGAAAGGCTTTCGGTAGGTAGAGAGTAAACGTCGAACCACGTCGGACGGCTTCGAGAATTTCGCAGTAATGTTTACCTGCCAGTGTCGTTTCATAGAATAAGTAATTTTAAATTGTTATCGGCGGAACCGGACAATTGGATGTATTTATGGACTATAAATAATTATTGAACATGTATTATAATATTCAAATCATAATTTTACAAAATTTCAACAGCTATTCACAATTTATTAAATTATTTACTCCAAATTGTTAATAACATTTATAAAATAATTTTGTACGCCAATGTATCGCGTCCACTTCGGTGAGATCCGCCGTAAACCTGTCAATTTATGTGTATAAAGTGGGAGAACTGGCAAAAACCTTTCCAACTTTTACTTCTGCTATACATTCATATACCCGACTGTAAAGCACATGCCCAGTGTTGCCGATTTGCAGTTAACAACCTAAAAATCGGTATTTTCGACTTGTTTTGTAGGTAAAATTTTTAATTCAGGTGAAACCGTATAAAAAAACACTGCTATTTGATAGTTTTAAGTTATCACTTCTATCATCCGTCCTCAATGACTGCCTCATTTTTGTTTTTTGCATCGTCATTGTTTTTAACCGCCTTAATTTTTTCAGTATTCCTAATTTTTGTAGGGCCAGCTACATTTTTGTTCTTTTTATTGAGTCAAAGGCTTGTTTAAAGCATTTCTAATTTTATTTTATGTTCATACACATTTATTGCGTGAATTGCATCTATAATTGATTGTCCTTGTGTGAATCCACATTGGCACTCTCCTATCTATTTTTTGTTGTTTCCCCTAGCCACCTTTGTAATGTTGCTAAAAGTATTTTATTATTGCTTTCATATTAAATGAATTTAATGTTAATTACATTTTTTCCTGGAGACTTTCCATTTACATTTATTCCAATAACACTTTTTTCCATTTCCTCTTCCTCTATCTTCTCATATTATTCCAACTTCGGATCGATTAATAGGTATTTAAAATAATCTGTGTCTACCTGATTAAGGTGAGTAAGAACCAACAGTCCAAGTTGGAACCTTGTGGGACTCCAATTACGAGAATTTTTTTAAAATTAAATATTTCCATTGTATTTTACAACAAAGTATCTACTTCTTAAGTAACTTTGGAATAGCTCCAATAATTGTCCTGATATTAAAAAGAACTATGTAACTTTGCTAAAATAATATTACTTATTAAACTATTCAATATATTTCTTAGACCAAAATTTTCTTATGGAAAAAGTCTGCTTACCCAGTAGACATAAGTTGACAAAATTCTATTAATACTATAGATAATTATTATATAAAAAAAATATTAAATGTAATTGCCTAATTAGATAATGGTAATGTAGTTTTTAGGTAAAAACGTGGAAATATTATATTGCAAATAATATAACTGCACAAACTTAATCATTTCATTAACCATGTTAATGTTAATACTCCCCGCACTGGTAGCGTTAATTTTTTCATATATTTCCTGGAAACATTCCTACTGGAGTCGAAAGGGCGTAGATTCGATAGAACCAGATTTCTTTTTCGGCAACACTACTGCCGTAATCAAACGAAAAGAACACAGAAGCGTAGTTTTCGAAAAATTTTACAAATACTTCAAATCAAGAGGCCAAAAATTTGGTGGCATTTACGATTTAATCTCGCCAGTGGTTGTCGTAACGGATCTCGAATTAATCAAATGCGTCCTTCAAAAGGATTTTTCACATTTCATGAACCATTTTGGTTATATCAATGAAGAAGCTGATCCTGTTTCTGGAAGTTTGTTTAACTTGAAAGGTGGCAAATGGAAGAATATCAGAGCTAAATTGACGCCTACATTTACAACGGGTAAGACACAATTTAAGTGATAGTTATTAACGATACAAGTTTGATCATGGCAGAACGAGGCTGTAAGACGAGTTCTGCGAAATCAAACGAGCTTCGTTGGTATGTAACGGTTTATTTATTATTTTTCACTTTTCGGGTCTATTATAATTATTTAAGGAGATGGTTAAACGTCGAAATAAAATTCTAAACTTTTTTGTATCTTTATTGTGACTTTCTGTCGATTGACTACTATTTTCAAAGTCGAAATTAAATTGGAAAATTGTATTTTTCGAATTTTCACACACTTTGGGCACAATATGAATATTTTAAAGGGTAGTCAAACGTCGAAATAAAATTCTAAATCTTCTTGAATCTTTATTATGCCTTTATGTGAATTGACAATTTTTGCCACGTCGAAATTAGACATGGAAATTAATTAATAATTATTTCAGGAGATCGTCAATCGTCGAAATTTATTTGTATATGTTTTAAGATTTTCATCATGCCTTTCTATCGATTGATCATTTTTTCCAAGTCAAAATTCAATTTGGAAAATGTATTTTTTTATTTATTCGGATTTGCACACTTTTTTGGCTATGTATAATGATTTTAGGACTGGTCAAATGTCCAAACATATTACTAAACCGTTATGCATCTTTATTGACGATAGACCATTCTTTTTTTTTTGTTAAGATTCATCGTTAATCTCTTTTCTATAATGTGCCGCTTTTAAATTATTATAAGGAGTGGTTAAAAAAAATGATAAGTGGACAAACATAATGTGCCACAAGAATCAAAGTTAGGACACCTGTTGTTTGTTATTTTTATTAACGATCTACCTTCAGTTTTTAGTTATATTCAATGTGTACGTTATCTGATGATCCTTAAAGTCTATATAAAGTAGAATCGGTTTGAAACTTTAAAAAGATATGGATATAAGGTTTATGAATTGATTCTTGATAATAAATTGCATATTAATATTAGTAAATGATGACTATATCCCGATTAAAACAGTTAATTATTTTAGATTATCAAATGGCAGGGGATACATCAATACTATGTACATAATTTAAAGATCTTTTTGTCACATATAATAATGTATTTTCGCTTGAAAAACATATACTGGGTGTTCAACAGTACCGAAAACCCAAAACCAAATCATCATGATAGCGTTTGGTGAAAATAAAAGTAAAAATCTCTAGATGTGAGCCAATGCCGTATGTATTTTATTACAAAATAGATCTTCTTTTTTTATGGTTATGCAACTACGAGAACAAAATTCAGTTAGGTAACTGTTAGAATTACAACACAAAATCATAATATTAATTAGAGGTGCTTTACATTATTGTATTTTAATGATAGAATTTGATATTTTAATTAGATTTAGTCAAATGCAATAATCTAATTTTTAAAATTATGATATAATTAACATAATCTTAAAAACTGAGCTATTTATATCTAGTGTTAGAAGTTAAAAGAATTAACTTCAAAATTATTGTTTTAAAATGATTTATCACCCTGTATACTATAACATCCTGTATAGCCACTTCACAAAACACGTGTTAACATGGTTTTATAATGTTGTATTGAATATCTCGTAAACAATGTTTATAATGTAATTTATTAAGGAACAAAATAAAGAATATCTTTAACGGCATATTGCCTATCACTTCCTAGCGTTCGACTGGTGGAAGGTCAAGTCCCCGCTCTCCTGGTCCTGGACACTGCAACGGGCAGACATAGTACCGTCAACCCCAGTGAAGGCGATATCCTAATTCGCTAATTCTAACAGGGCAGACGTGGTACCGTCGACCCCAGTTGCGGCGATATCCTAATTCGCTGACTCTAACACTAGTTTGTATTTAACGCAAAAAATAATATACTGACATATGGTTCGTACTAGTTATTGCCACTATTACAAAAAAAAAACCTTTACCAGAACAGGTCGCAAGAAAGTTATGGACAAAAAATATTATGCATTAAAATATGAATAAAATTAAAAACTATTTACTTTAGATTGACTCTAAGATATTTAGCTACAGCTAAAACTTTAAAAACGATAGGCAGAAGATAATGGCAGTATTTGGCAATTACTGCAGTTTAAGTAAACAAATGGAAAGAAATACTCATATATCTGGATGATTTAATAATTTTTTCCAATCAAAGAACACTTGGAAAAACTAATAAAGGTTTGTAAAAGGCTACGAGAAGCCAACCTAACCCTAAAACCAAGCAAATGTATATTTGCTCAAACCAATATAAACGTTCTGGGGTATACTGTAGATGAAAATGGACTGACAGTTAATGCTACTAAATTAGTAGTTATAAAAGATTGCCTACTCCTAAAACTGTAAAACAAGTTCAAAGTTTTGTAGGATTATGTAACTACTACAGAAAATTTATAGAAATTTTTTCAGTGATTGCAAGACCGTTAAATTTACTCACAAAGAAGGATGTTACCTATTCTTGGGAAACCCTTAAAGAAAAACTGTTGACAGTACCTGTGTTACAACACTATAACCCTAATGCGGAGTGTGAACTTAGGATAGATGCCTCAAAAATAGGCATTGAAGCAATCTTGCTACAAGAGGGCAAACAAAAACACCGCGTGAGTTACATAAGCAGGAGTCTTTCAAAAGCTGAACAAAATTATAGTATAACAGAACTTGAAGGACTAACGGTAATTTGGGCACTTGGTTACCTAAGACACCTCGTAGGTGGCAAGCCAATAACCATAATGACAGACCATCACGCTTTATGTTGGCTATGGTCCTTAAAGGATCCTACATGCAGACTTCGATGGCTCAATCAAATACTGCCACAACAAAAATGATATTGTTTAAGAAATTTCGTTTTAAAATTTTGTAAGCCTTATTTTGTTTTTGGCATAAAAACTTTAAATTTTATTTAAAAGTTTCGACATATTGCTGTTAAAATTTATGATTACGATTATAAAAAGTACCTTAATTGAGTTATTGCGAAGTTTGTAAAAAAAAATTATATATTTTTGCATAAAATAATCCGAGTCGAGGTAGTTTTAGATAGTTTGTGGCTGGATTTTAAATTATTTTTGGGCATCTCTAAGAATATTTTGGTTTGTGGCGGCATTTAAAATAAAATCTTAGTGATATTTAGAATTCATTAAACCAAAAATGTAATTTTCTTTGTTTTTTGACTTGTGGCGGTTTTTGATTGTACCATCGACTTGCTCGATGGAGCATTAAACTGTCCGAATTTGATTATGTAATCAAGCACAAAAGCGGGAGTTCAAATAAGGATGCGGACTGTCTGTCAAGAAATCCAGTATTAAAATCTACAAATAAGGATATAGAAGAAGCTATCCCAATGTTTCTCTTAGAATCAGATGATTTTGAAAAAGAACAATCGGAGAATCCTGAAATAGTTCAAATACAAAATACCATTCTGGACCCAAGAACGGCTTCAATAGATACAGGTCGAAGAGCAAAAAATTTTAGGCTAATCGACAATATCCTATATAAATCAAATAGTAATCCTGAAGGCCTATAAAACCTTTTAGTGATACCAATCGTCACCTGGCATACCATTCAGCCAGACTCCCAATCGCATCCATTTTCTCTGATAGCATTATTGAACCGTTTTCACGTGACATCCTTCAAACCCCTTACCTACATGAAGATGACATTTAACACTGACGCTTCGTTCTCGTTATTTTTTCTCATTTATTTTAAATGAAATAAATAAAATAATGTTTTCTTATTTTTTTTTTACCACTAGTAATAATTATATTTCTTACCTTTACGTAATCTTGGAGGGCCTCGACAAGGGCGGTAAAAACCTCCGGCACCAAACAAGAAATAGCTTGTTTGGAAATCTTTATCGTATACATCAATGAATGGTACGAATCTCCAGTCGCAAGAAAGCACAGGGTAACTGCTAGACCAGTGGTCGCCAACCTGTCGATCGCGAGCTACCGGTAGCTCTCACAACGATTTTAATTTAAAAATACAAACTGCAAAAATCAGAGAAGCTTCCGAATATTCCACAAAAAAATTGTCATAATATTAAACATAAACAGCGGCAACGTTGCGGTGAGCGATCTGCCGCTGACGCCATCAAGCTAGAATTTGCCAACTTTAGAAATAAAGACGAGATAGTTTCAGCTATAAAATCTATGCAACTTTCTGCTAATACAGTGATGAGACGTGTAGAAGTAATGAGCAATGATATTTTTTTACAGTTAAGAACTGACTTAGATAACTGTTTATTTTTCACTTCAACTGGATGAATCAACAGATGTCGTTGACACTGCCCAGATGGGCGTGTTCGTCAGGATGGTTTTTAGTGATTTTACGATTATGTCGTAAAGATGAAACTTTTCCGCAATTTCTCTGTTACCACTGCATTATCCATCAGCAAGCATTAGGTGGAAACTAAACAACGTTATGAAACTGGTGGTAAAAATTGTGAACAAGATTAGAGCTCAAGCGTTACAAAGAAGATTATTCAAAACCTTGGCCGATGAAGTTGACTGTCAATACGGGGACCTACTCCTTCACTCTGAAGTCCGATGGTTTAAGTAGAGGACGGGTGCTGAAACGTTTTAATGATGTCCTATCTGGAATAGTTCAATTTTTTAAACAACGCGATGAACCGACTCCGGAACTAGAAAATTCAATCTGGCTTAGAGATTTTGGTTTTCTCGTGGACATTACAGAGAAATTAAACGAACTTAATTTGCAGCTTCAGGGTAGAGACAAAGAACTAGCGGAAATGATTTCTGATATAAAAGCATTTATCAAAAAGCTGGAGTTTTGGGAAAAAAACCTAATTAACAGCGATGCCAAGCATTTTCCTATTCTTTCAGAAAAAATATCTCAAAATCCATTAGAACCCTATGACAGCAAATATCATGTAAAAATAGTTTCTATTGGCTTTAGTAGCGCAGTTTGTTGTTTCACCCTTTATGAAAATTGATATCCAACAGTTTGCAACTTGTGTTATGCAGAACTTTGGCAAAGCCATCGCTGCAACAGAAATGGAAGTAATTGAGTTTCAAAATGATTTAGCCTTAAAATCGTTAGTCTCAAGTACCAAATGTATCTGGCCTATTGTAAGTAAAGACAAATATTCAGTTCTGTGCCGTGTTGCCTTGAAAGTGAAAGCATTATTCAGTTCAACCTATTTGTGTGAATCTTCTTTTTCCAATATGAAGTTTATTAAGAACAAATATCGCAATCGACTTACAGATGAACATTTGAATAATTGTATTCGAGTGGCTGTATCAAATTATATTGCAAACATTAAATAAACTATCGATGAGTCTGAGTGTCAGCCTTCTCATTGAACGTGCTTTTTTATTTTTCAATGTTTATGTTCATGATAGTGCGTTACTTTTTTGTTGTTATTATTAACTATTTTTAAATCTTACGTGATATGCCGTTGTGGCTGGATACAAGTTTATGTTTATTTTTTAAACACCTTCGTTTGGTAGGTAGGAATGTAGCTATGAACAAGTACGTACTAGTAATATTAGTTATTTTGTTATTAGTTTATTATTAGTACCTATGTATTATGTATTACCAGTTAAATAGTAAAATAAATACATATAATGATAAATTAACTGTGGATTATTTCATTTACGTTGCGTTACGTGGCTTCCGTGTGGGTAGCTCGTTGTTTATTCCAAAATTAACAAAGTAGCTCAACACACTGAGAGGTTGACGACCACTGTGCTAGACGTTCACTCGCAGGAATAGCCTCTCTGAAGGAGGGCTTCGTCTTGCTAATTCTCGACCCAATTATGGTCAACAGGTGTTCGAAATCCGAACTTTTCGTTCTGAAAAAGTTGCAGAATCCCACGTCATTACTGTACTCAAAATTTAACTCGTCAACCTCATCAAGTAGTAAGTCCCTCATGAATTCACGGGCCCTGAACTTTTTCCTCCCCTGAAGGATGGTGGAGCGAATTCAAAATCTCTGAGGGCGACGGACACGACACGACGGTTTCCTGCAGTTAATGCTATAAATATTGCTGCTGAAGCAGCTAAAACGGCATCATCATCACTCGACATTTCGCACTGCGCACCTATTTACTGACGCGGGTTGGTTCGGCATTGATCGGCAATTCGGGACGTCTAGACTACTGGAACAATGTGGACGTCTTGCCAAACACCGCAAGCCGAACCTAACGTACCGCCCGGCATAAGCCGGTCAGCCTGTTTCGGTATAATGTGGACGCGCCTTAAGATTGACTGTTTTTTTAACTTCTCATAGGGACCAAGTACTTGAAAATATAACCAGATATTTTTGATATAACGCAAAATTAAACAATTGTTTATTTTATTACACCTTTTATAAGCAATTTCAATGTATTGTTTCCAACAATCGATTTGAGGTTAGAAATTTGGACATTTTTGTATCATGAGAAATGATAACTATCATTAATGTCATTATTAGAAAAAGTTAACGATCAACTTTATGTGTTATGGTATCACAGATTCTTTAGTGACCACCGGGTTCCCACTATCATATGTACAAAGTGTGCAATGCACACGGGCGCCATCCCTTAGGGGCGCCAAAACACAAGATAAAAAAAAAATGCAAAAAAATTTGCCAAAAAAAAAAATAATAATTTTAAAATAAAAGTTGAGAAATTAAATAGGATTAGGTATAAATACACACAAAATTTTATTAGTATATTTTTACGAATAAATATAACACCCTGTGAATAGGTATGTTATGATTTGTAAACTTTTTAAGGGCAGGCGCGCTTAATAGATTTTCGATAAAATATTAAAACGTGTAGTTGGACAAGGTTTCATAAAATCATAATATCAAAGTACAGGGTCAAGGAAGATCAATAAGAGCATTCTTGGAAAATTACGAGTTAATTTTCGAGGAGTTCCTTTTGGTTTTTGTTGACTAGCGGTCGTAATCATTCGTATTAAGTGGATTTCTTTATAAAAGATGTTATCACTCTACATGCAAACAAAGCCAAAGAAAGAAACTTCGCTCACGATAGCCAAACTATAAATTTACTTTACCTGCTGCCGCTATTGGGAAGAAGGCTCAAAAGGACATGGCCAGAAGAACTAACTGACTAGGTGTATTGGAGAATCATCACTGGATGGTGCCCAAAACAAGCCACAAATCAAACTATTTGCTAATTACTCTTTGTTTTGTAATTAGAGTAGATTGTAAATTGTTCCTAAAAAAATGTGATTTTTAGTTTTGGGTTATTTTCTAATTTTTATAAACAACGTGTCTGTCCCCCATTAGTTAAGTAAATGCTTTAAAATGGGTGTGAATAAGAATTTATTTTAATTTATTTTGTTATGATTTTATTCTGTTTGTTTCATTTTGATATTTTAGTCTCAAGTTCAGTTCTTTGCTTTATTTCCAGTACCTACCTACTTGCCTACTTTCAAAATGCCTTAAGGGATGCCAAAATCCTTTTTTTGCACACAGGCACTAGTAGCCCTTATGGTGGCCGTGAGTGACCAATAGAAATAGGCGCTTCATTATGACGCGGTAAATGGCGCAAAAATAGATTGTTTTAAATAATTGATTTAAAAGTGAACATTTTAAAGTACTATTACTTTATTATTAATTATCGATTTAAAGTATATAATGAACAAAGTTTTTTCTTATTTATAATTTCTACAATAAATTGTTTAAAACGTAATAAAATAAATAAATCAAATTTGAAAAAAGTACAAAAATAATCTTTGTGAATGAACGTAAAAAATATTCGTATTGAATTATTTTATTTCAGGAAAAATGAAAATGATGTTTCAAACTATAGCCGAATACGCTACAAACTTACAAGAACTACTAGAGGAAAACAATACCCCAAACAACCCTGTAGATATTAAAAAATACGTCTCGATGTATAACATCGACATAATAACTAGTTGTGCATTTGGCATAGAAGTCAATAGCATGAAAGATCCAGACACAGAATTTCTAAAATATTTTGAAAAACTGATGGAACCATCACTCACGCTAATAATTAGAAGATTTATATCCGTCACTTTACCGCAATGGCTATTAGTAAAATTAAAATTCAGGGTAACCTACAAAAATATCGAACAATTTTTCTTGAAAACAGTCAAAGAAATCGTGGAGTACAGAGAAAAGAACAACGTATATCGCAAAGATTTTATGCATTTGTTAATTCAAATTAAAAACATGGGAGAAACCACAGATACTGGAAATTTGAATTCAGAAAGTACCATCAAGCATTTGTCAATTAATGAAATAGCAGCTCAAGCTATAACTTTTTACGTAGCTGGTTATGAAACGTCTTCTTCTACAATGGCGTTCGGTTTAATGGAATTAGCCCTAAATATTGTGTGTCAAGAGAGACTTAGAGAAGAGATTTTGTCGGTCGTTAGAAAATATAATAACAAAATAACTTACGATGGTATCATGGAGATGGAATATTTGGATATGGTCGTTCAAGGTAATTAAAGTATTCTAATGTTTTAATTTTTCAAATTTTGACTTTTTTTGGAATTTTTTTTGTTTTTGTTTGAGTATTTTTACTAGTCATTATTGATAATTTTAGTATAAAAATCTTATGAGATAGAGTTTGCACATAATGTAGGTGTTTTAACCCTTTGAAAAATAGGCCCCTAAATTGAGCATAGTTAACCCTATATTGCATACCGTTGCCCTCAAGCAACATCCATATCTAAAATTATTAAATAAGTTTCACATGCGATACACTTTTCGTAGTTGCATACTGTTGGTTGTAGGAAACATTTGAATCGGTCACGGTGGACTATAAGGTGCATCAACTCCTATTTAAAAACAAATGAAAACGGCGATAAAACCGATCGTACTTCCTAGCCAAAATCCGCTAGGTTCGCTAGTATCTATCCGGCGAGAAAGTAAATAAAAGATAAAAGTAGGAGCTGCAATTTAAAAAGTGTTGGCAGATAAATATTTTTTAAAATCTTAAAATATATAAATCATGGTGGATCGTTGTGCTGTTTTTAATTGTGATTATGGGAGAGAGTCTTCAAAATATTAATAGCAGTTTTATAATGCCAAAAACAGTTATACAGAATATGGTGCAAATTATTGGTGGTATGAAAATAAACATTAAACCCAAAAGTTCCATTTGTGAAAAACATTTTAATGCAAATTATGTTATCCGTGAAAAAGTGCTATGAAATCTACTAGGAAACGTTATTTTTCAAGTAAATATGTTTAATGTCTACGTTTTAAATGATTGTAGGTTATGTAAATAGGTTATTCAACTTTGTCTTTTTTGTAATAAAAATAATTATTAGTATAAAGTTTTATTATATAAATATTTCGTATTATTTATCCTGTCTCCTTGGTACTAATAATGTTATGACTTGGACCCTATTATAATGTGTTCATGATATAAATTTCATATACACAAGGTACCTATTTCTTTTGATATTTTTCTGACCCTGCGAATAAATAAAATCTTTGACTTATTTCTTTTAGCCTGATTATAATGCTAGAAAGTTGTATCTGGTTATAAGAATCAAATAGATACTATGATAAATTTATTTTACTTGTAGCCTTTTTATTTTTAAGTGTTCAAATATACATTTGTTTAATAATAATCATCCCCAAATGTGTTTTGTTCCAGTTCTTTAAATGTATTTACTAGATTTTTATAGAAGTACTGATTTTAAATTAATAAAAATTTGAGCTGTAAGAAATATTTAAGATTTTTCAATTCTGTATTTTTATAGGAGTTAATAATCCCTTTAAGTAAATAAATGTAGTTCGGGGTCGTAGATGTTGGTAATTTGTGTATTGAATAATTTGTACATACAATGGTTAATAATTTAAACAATGTTTTTTCTGATGTACCTAATAAATATTTAAGGTTATCTTGTAGTTGAGGAGTCTAGAAATCCGCATATTCACACCACTCTGAAGTCTAGAATTTGACACAAATTTGAAGTTAAAAATAACGATCGTATTACTTGAAAATCTACAGTTTTTTTTTAATTTTTAATCGATGTAAAAATTGGTAAATACATGATAAAAAGTAAAAGTTATTTCAAATAATTAAATATAACTTTGCAACTATATGTTACGATTCCAACTATCAGAACTAGCCAGAACAAGAATGGTGCATTTCCAGACCCTTCAATTATAAGATTACCATTATTTAATGTGCAGCGCAAATATAAAAAAAAACTACCTAAAAAATGCTGTTCCTGCTTTTATTACTTATGATGGGACTACTTCTCAAAGGAGACAAGAATGTGGAAAGTATTGCTGATACAGTTACTGAAGTTATCCACTGGGGGTGAAGTGTTAATCTTTTAGGAATATAGGAAATATTTTTTTATATCTAACAACTTAATATTTATTTATTGATAAGTTATAGATACTATGTATTTGAAATTCGAAGTAATCATTATGACAGCTGTGTTCTTCTTATTGTATTCGAATTCTAACACAAATAAAACATCTCATTAAATTTTTGTTAAAATTATTAATTTATTAATTTTACATTAGAAAGAAAATTAACAATACACACAAAATTATTTAAAATTAGAAATAAATACAATTTACACATTTCCCATTATTACACTTTTACTTACTTAATTTATTCATTTCTTATATTAACAATATTATAGTTCATTATTTAATTGGAACTCATTTTATAATTTTACTAATTATTTTTTTATATTTATTTGTGGAAAATTAAATATTAAATAAAAGCATAGGAATTGTTCTATTAGATAATAGCATTAATGAAAAAATAAGTAGGAAAATTTCAAATGTATAGTTTCCAGATTTATTATGAGTTTTTCATATTAATGTACTCAATAAGTAGGTTTATTATGTTCGCTTGTACACATCACAGTTAACAGCAGACAGTAACAAACCTGACAACACTTCCGATTTCAGAAAAACATTACAACAATTTGTTTTACATTATATATTTCAATAATGTAATATAATAATCATTTATATTTAATTAATGACAAGGTTTACTTTTTAAATAAAACTATATGAGCCCTGTCCCGTTTCAATTAGCACACTTCTCAAATTTATAGTGACTGTCACTACAAGAACAAATCATACATAAATCTGATAAATTACTTTTATTTTTTTAACCCTTTCACTTCCACTTTCATTAAAAAAAATACCATTGTAGTACCTAGATTGTATGTTTTCTTTGTTTGTTTTAAGTAAATTAAAAGTTTTTCATAGTATTTTTTATTACTCCAAGACATAACGTCCCTGTTCAGGGACATTACAAAAACAAAAATTTACTATGAAAATAATTTTTTTATAATATTAATCCTTAAAAGTAATGCAAATAAAGTAAATAAACCAAAAAGAAAAATTTCTACCAAAATTAACAGATGTATACTTCAGGGTTAATTAAGACAGTGTCCCTCTGGAGGGACAAATACACTGAAAGGGTTAAATATTTACAAATTTTCATGAGTGTTTCATCACCTTTAACTTTGATAACGGCAATAATTCATTAAAACATTGTATTTACAAGTTCTTGAAAATCTTACGTGCAGGGAACCTACTCCATATTTCTAGATTACCCATTTGCTTTAATTCTGGCAGTGATCTTGTGGGTGCTGCACGCCTCTGCTTAAAAATTATCACCCCATATACAAAAAAGCATCTTTATTAAATGAACAAGAAACTAAAAAAAAATAAGCATTATTAAAAACTACAAAAAGTGCATAATTTGAAAATCCATATTCAAGCTTGAGATTTGTAAAATTAAAAAAATTCCAAATACACATTTAACTTGTTCAATTATGTATTGAATAAAAGGTCTGTTCCAACAATGATCAGAAACAAACCACTGGGTACTACACAATTTTGCAGTATCGATAAACTACTGTGCAGAATCCTGATGTCAGTAACTCATTTCTGAGCATTGTTGGAACAAACCTAAAGTAAATCAAAACCACTTAAAAACAAGCACAACATTTATACTCGAGCATAATTTTTAAATCCTATCAAAATTTTTAATTACTAAATATTTTGTTCTAGTTATATTAAAATTTAAAAGTCTTCATTATAATTATATTTTTTATTTTCCCTATATACCTACATACTATCTCTAACATTTTACAAATTTGATGCCTAATTAAAGATTTCATCTAGCATTGCAGCATTTTTTAGAATATTTGATAGAGCATAGTAGTAACTGCCAGTTAAAACTTTATTTCTAGTATTTAGTATAGGTAACAGAGACAACGCTTGGAACAGAAAATATATACTTTTGTTAATTCAGAATTTTTAAATGTTGTTTTATATTATAAATCTTTCCAGGTATCCTATATCATTTTTTTTTATAATTTTCAACCAAAACTGTTTAAAAACAAAAAGTTTAATAAAAAAACACCCATTATATTTAATAAGGTTTATGCTCTAAAACTCACTGTTCTTTTAATGGCAGATTTTTTAACCTCTGAGTAAAGTTAGGTGTAAGTATAATCTATAGCCTAATCAGCAAGTAGTTACTTTCAACTTTATTCAGAGGTAAAAACCTGGCCTTTAATCTTAATATAATTGTGGAGGATGGAGACTACATTTGCTAGGGATTAGGGAATAACGAAGATCTGACTACTATAATGACACTTGCTAAAAACTGTATATGCAGATAGAACCATGTGAATAACTTTAGTGCTTCGATAACACAACATTTATAATTAACAGATGAACATATTGGTCACAAAAACAAATTAAATAATATATTCTACCAATCTCATTTTTTCCAAAAAGTACAGTTACAACCTTGTTATTCTTTGAGATGTATTTATTACTGATACTTATTAATAAAAATAATAATAATTGATATAGGTACTTACTGATCTTTGGAAACATATATACTCCAGTCCAGTGAAACTTCATTATTCTGGTATAATGCTATTTCACAGAAATGTTTGTAATTCCAATCACTATGTATGGATTTGATTATAGTGGGTATAAAACTAAATGTTTATTGAATATCTTTAATATGGGCAATGAAAATCACAAAACTCACTTTAAAAATAATAAGCTTCAATCTGAGTACCATAGTTAAGGTCCACTTCTTCATTTTATAATCAGTAACCCACTGTATTGCTGTTTTTGCCAAAGCCAAAGGTAATATTTGAACACAAAACAAAATCAGCTGTTTTTTATAAACACCCCCATTTCACTTATTTAGTAGCACGTCTCTGGCAGCAACTTGTAACTTAATTGGCGCATATTTATTAAATCTTGAACACTTTTTTTGATCGTATAAACTCACACATCAGTGCAGCTTGTTTAAAAAAAAAACACTTATAAGCAACCATCAATAACAATAAACTTATTTGTTGACCATTAATTTTTTCATCTGTACTCCTTCTGATAGTTTTGTCATTTTTCATTTCATATAAACTCGAATTTTCACCATAGAAGAACTATTTTATGATTGCACTTTTTTTGACAGATAAAAAG